GCAAAGAAGAGCACTTTCAGGTGCTACAAACAATTTATTCACTCCGTGAAGGCGCTGCTATGCCTGGAGTACAGCCTACGGCTGCCCACTTCCCACAATTGCCTTGATCCTCTCCTTGTCCTCGAGCTGTTTTGCCATGAGGATGATCGATATTCCCCTCTCCATCGCCTGCTGTAGCTCGCACGAGTACGCCACGAGAGTGTGACACTCCTTATGACAAACCATCTTGCACCCCCGACAGAGAAGACCCTGTTTCGTCTCTCCGTAGAGGAGTCTATTGCACACGTGACACCATATCTGCACTCCCTGCTGGAAGTTTGTTGCTCTGAAGGCGTGATTACTGTACCGTATAAGGGCAGGATCTGCTGAAATTCCCATTTGCAGGGCCTGTTTTATCTCGTGGATCTTCTTCTCCGTGCCCTCCTTCTGCTTCAGTGCCATGGGGACGATGGAGCTGGATCCGGATCCCATTGTCTTGAGCATTCTCTCGATTCCCTCGAGGATCTGCTGCTCCTTCTCCAGCTCCCGAAGGAGTTCCTGGTCCTCTCCTGCGGGTGGGACGTGCTCGGACGAGGACTCCGTCTGCTCTGTGTATACGTCATCCTCTGAGGGCAGGAGGAGCTTGAATGAGAGACTTTCTCCCTTCGAGTTGATTCTGAGGAGTTCGTTCTTCTTTACGTCCTGGAAGTATATTTTGCTGAGGGGGAGGCGGATTTCCTTGATTCTGAGGTGATCTTCCTCGAGGTGTAGGGTTGTGGACTCCCATTTTTTTTCAAAGTATATCTTTATCGGGAAATTGTAGACGTTTGATGCGAGTTTCAGCCTGCGGATTTGCTCGAGCAATTTTCTGTTCTCGAACTCTGCCTCTTCTACTCTCTCTGTGAGGCGCACTCTCTCAGCTACTTCTCTCTCTATCCTTCCCTGCGTGTCTCGGATCTCTCCCTGGAGCTTCCGGATGAGCCATCTTGCCTGGTACGAGCTCTCGTCGGATCTTGCCTTGTACTCCCGGACTGTCTGGACGAGTTTCAGGCCTTCTCTCTGGGCTGTTTCTGCGCACTTCTGCAGGGCGGAGACGTCAATTCGGAGGACTCTCTCGCACTCTTCGCGCAGGGCTTCTTCCAGTCGGGAGATCTGCGAGAGAGTTTCCCTCTCCTCGCGCCTTCTCTCCTGCTCGCACGCGGAGATGAACATGTGCCCGCTTTCCTGAGGGCTGGGGACTGATTTCTGCAGAGTTTCCTCGATATTTTGCACACTTTCAGCGCTTTTCTCGTTTTCAGGTTTTTCACTTTCAGGTGCAAATATTTTCTCAACTACTTTTTCCTCGAGTTCAGGCACTTCCTCTTTCTCGCTTTCAGATATGCTTTCAGGTGCATGGTCAGGTACATGGTCAGACACTTCTTCAGGAGTTTTCTCTTCTTTAGGCATACTTTCAGGTTCTTTCCCAGACACTTCTTCAGGCATGCTTTCAGGTGTTTCCTCTTCTTCAGGCATACATTCAGACTCTTTCTCGTTTTCAGACATACATTCAGACTCTTTCTCGCTTTCAGGTACATGTTCAGGCATACATTCAGGCTCTTTCTCGCTTTCAAGTGCATGTTCAGGCACGCTTTCATGTGCAGGCACCTCCATCTTGGCGTTCTCGCAGGCCCTGCACCTGTGCTCTGAAATTTCCCCGGGCTTTTTTTCAGGTTCTCCAAACTCAGGCCCTGAAACAATAACGATCTCAGGGTCGTATCCAAACCCAACGAACTTCCCCTGCACGCAAATACTCCGCGTCTCCCTCCCCTGCGCAGGAACAAACTCCTCCACCTCGAAGTTCTCGAGCGTCTCCCCCTCACCCCCCGGGACATGCACCGGCACGTTCTTCCCCTTCCCCGAGAAGTCGAACCCCCGGAAAAAAGGCTCCTCCTTCAACGAGGAAATCCCCAGGCGATTCTCCTCCGCGCAGAGCATCCCCGAAATGACTCGCTCCAACTCCGGCGAGCACGCAGGAATCACGTACTTCATCTCCAGGATATTATTGTACGTCTCCCGAATCGTCTCCGCATAAAAAGGCGCTACTCCAAAGGCCATTTCGTATACGACAACCCCAAGGGACCACAAATCCGTCTTCTCGCTGAGTCTCCCCGACATCCCCAGAACCTCCGGGGCAACGTAATCAGGAGTCCCCACTACGACACGATGATCGTCTGAAGAGAGTCTCGTGCAGCTCCCAAAGTCTGCGAGTTTAATGTGCCCGTCTGCATCGATCAGGATATTCTCAGGTTTCACGTCCCTGTGCACGAATCCTGCCCCGTGCAGCTCCTCCAGCGCAAGAATCGCCTCTCCCCCAAAGAATCGCACGAACTCCTCGGGAAAAGGCCCTTTCCTGCAGCAGAGACTCCCGAGATCGCCCCCCCGAATGAAGTCCGTGAGGAAGTAGAGGGCAGCCCCGTCCTGAAACGATCTGTGCAGTCCCAGGAGCCACTCAGACGCTCTCCCGCGTATCATTGAGTCTCTCTCTCGCATCACAGGATTTGCTAGGGGATCTTCTACAATATCCTGTTTGAAGACTTTTTTCAGCGCGTACACCTGCAGAGTCCGCTTGCACCGAACGACAAAGACTTCACTGTGGCCGCCCTTTGCAAGTCGGTGGAGTATTTCGTAGTTTTCCTCCCTGTCCGTTACTGCAAGTATTTTTCCGATCTCTGGGAGTTCTATCCCTGCGAAACTTATAGCTTGTGCGCAGTCTATGAGCAGATTTGCCTCTTCGTTATGCAGGCGCAGCTTCTTTTCTTGCATGCAAACAAAAGAATTTTAATTCTTATGGGAGAAGGAAAGTTTCGCTGGGAGGAGGCATTCCAGAGCACGTGGGATACGGGGGGAGGAGTCGGGGATAATTTTACGCTGAATGTGAGCAGGAGGACGGAGAACCTCCAGAGGGGGATAGTTCGCCGGGTTCTGCTCGTTCTGGACGTATCTTCCTCCGTTGAGGAGAGGGACTTTCTTCCCTCGCGGAAGTACTACGTGAAAAAGGCTGCGAGTAAATTCTTTCGATCTTTCACTGAGAGTAATCCCCTCTCTACGATGGGAGTAGCTGTAGCGTACGGGGGAAGTTCGTATCTTGGAAGTTCTACCGTGTGCGAGGAGGGAGAGATAGAGGCTCTTCTGGGGCAGGCGGAGGGAGGAGGAGGATTCTCCCTGGGGAGTGCTTTGGAGACGGCTGGGGAATTCTTTGAGGGGTGCTCCTTCGTGAAGGAGGTTGTTTTTGTCGTTTCTTCGCTCTCCTTCTCGGGGAGGGATCCTGTGGGGATAAAAAATGCGCTTGTAAATCGGGGAGTTATTATGCATACGATACACTTAGCGGGGGAGGTGGAAATTCTTCGGAGAGTGAGCGAGGAGAGTGGGGGAGTGTTCGGAGTAGTTAACTCCCCGGAGGATTTGGGGGCTCTCCTGGGACTTGTTTGCGTGCCTCCCCCGCATTCTGCACCTGCTCGTCTCTCGATGCTTCGCGTGGGATTTCCTGCGGTGATCTGCGAGAGTACGCTTTGCTCCTGCCATTTGAGGATGAACGAGTGGGGATACGAGTGCCCTTTCTGCACTACGAAAGTCTGTTCTATTCCTGGAGTCTGTCCTATCTGCGAGAATATTCTTAGTGCTGCTGTTCACCTTCTGAAGGCTTTGCACTGGAGTGATTCTGCGCCTGTTTTTGTGCCGGGAGGGAGAGGGAAGTGTCGGGGGTGTGGAGAATTCGAGGTTTTACTGCACGAGTGTCCGTCCTGCAGATGTACTTTGTGCGGGGAATGTACTGGATTTGTGCGACAGGAGCTTAACTTCTGCATATTCTGTCCGTGAGGGATAGGATCCTTCGGAGTTTTAAATAAAAAAGCATTCGGATGTGGGTAGATAGAGTTTTGGACGTGTTTTTTTGTTTTTATTTTTATTTTTTTCAATGAGTCCAAAAGCGCTGTTGTGTGCTGGAAGTATCTGTATGCATAGGAAATTAAAAAATATATTCAAATAGTTAAAAAACCTCGAATAACCAGAAAATATCATATGTAGATACAGGAGTGGGAATGCATGATGGTATGATACATGATATGATACATGGTATAAGATGGATAATAGAGTAGATATAATGAGTTCAGGTTATTGCTCAGGTTGTGGTTGTGGTTGTTCCAGTGATTGTTCTAGTTAGCTCATTCTATCTATAGAGTTCGGGTTATTATTCACTCTAGTTATAGCTATTCTATCTATAGTTATGCTGTTATCCTAGCTCTAGTTATAGTTGTTATTCTATCTATAGTTATAGTCATTCTAGCTCTAGTCATTCTATTATTCTAGCTCGGGTTATTCGGGTTATTCTGGGTATCCTTTTGTTCTGGCTGTATTTAGGCTATTACTTAAGTGCAACTGATTGAATGTTTAGCGTGAAAATTCTGCCTGTGCTTTTATTTACTTCAGGTATTCGGGGCATCTCGCACGGCGTATTTTACACTTTGCCCTTTGCGATCACGTACGTGCACACGCCAATCACGTACTTCGAAAGCATTTGGAGGCTCGACCCGGAAAATTCCTTCTCCCCTAAAAAGGCCTTCAACTCCTCGAGGCTTTTCCCCCACTTCTCGTGCAGAATTTGCAGGGACTCCAGGACGGAAACTGCCTCCCTAACGGCCTCTCTCTGTCTCTTTTTCAGGTTCAGGGCCTCAATAAACTGCCTCTTCCCCTCTCCTTCGAGGCAGTCCGTCTCCACAATGTCTGTTGATATTTTCAGGACTTCCCGGAGAATGGGCAGCTCCTGGGCTATGGAGATTCTCTCCTGCTTTACCTTCTCCTGCACGAGGAGAACGACCGAACTGTTCTCAAGGACTCTCGGCAAAGAATCCACGCGAATCCCCCACGCTCCCTGGCTTTTTCCCCCGGAGTTCAGCACATTTACGACTCCGAGCGTTATTTTCAGGATCCTGTGGATGCTTTTCGTCCGCAGGAAGAGAGAACATCCTTCAATGAGCGTCTTCACGCTCGGAATAAGCGTCTTCTCCACGGAGGAAACAGTCAGGAGCAAGTGCATAATCACAAGCTTCTCCCGAAACATCTCAACGGAAAGTGCCTTCTTGTAGAATATCTCCGGAGCTAATTCCACCGGGTGCTTTTTTATCAGCTCCAGCTCTTCCTCCGTCGGGTAGTTGTGAATTAGCCCTGCTAAAAGCGTCTCAGTGAAGGCTTTCGTGTTCAAAGCATCCACAGACTGTATCAGCTTCTCGTGCGGGACTTTTACGCGTGCCAGAATGATATCTATGGCCTTGCACCGCTTTTTATCGATCACTCCGTCCGAGATGATCTTTTCGTCCTCCACAGTCTTTTCAGTTTTTTTTCTTTCAAAGACTCGGAAGTCTGCCTTCGTGAAGACGCGAAGATCCTCCACGGAGAGATCACACCATAATCCGCCTCCTGCAGGCTTCCGAATGTGGACGTCGTATGAGATCTGCTGGGGATTTTCTGGGTGCAGAAGAGATGCTGCCTGCATGTACAGGGAGCGAGGCCCAGGAGGAGCAGCCTCGAAAGTTCCACTCCCAGGAGGAGCTGAAATTCCCCCAGGAGCAAGAGGAGGAACTGCCCCCAGCGAAGAAAGCGACATTTTAGTCTTCGGAGGAATTCCCATTGTCTTAGGAGGGATTCCCATCTTAGGAGGAATTGGAGGAATACTTTTTCCTGGCATTGTCTTAGGAGGAATTGGAGGAATCGAACCTAGCATTGTTTTAGGAGGGATTGGAGGAATTGAACCTGGCATTGCCTTAGGAGGAATTGGAGGAATCGAACTTTTTCCTGGCATTGCCTTAGGAGGAATTGGAGGAATCGAACTTTTTCCTGGCATTGGAGGAATACTTTTGCTCTGAATATTTTTCAGGTTCAGGGTACTCCCTGGATTTTCTTCGCCTGTTTTTTTCTGTCCCTCAGACTCCGTGCACGCAGAGACTGTCTCTGGGGATGCGATCTTCTCTGGGGGCATCCTATACCGCGAGAGAATGTCCTTGCAAATGCAGACGTACTTCTCGCTCTGCGTCTTCTCCTTCCGAATGGCTCTCTCCTGCTCTATCTTCATTGCGTCCTTGTTCCTGTAGACGGACTCCTCCATTATCTGCCCCCGAATGAATTGGAGGACATCGTACATTCGGCTGCTGTTTATCCTGTTCAGAACGCTTAGGATAGAAATAATCTGCTCTACGTCTTTCTTCGTCTCTTCTGTGGAAATATCTATCTTTCTAACGTCTATCTCCACAGCCATTGCTCGGACCTTCTGCTGGAGGCTGAGGAGGTTGCTTACACTCTTCCGCATCCCTGGGAAGGCACTTTCCACGCGGGAAAGGACTCTGCTGATCCCGCACATCCGCAGGAGTCCGTCCAGCATAATCCCCACCATCGGAGACTCCTTGTAGAAGCCCATTATAAGCTGCAGAAAGACGGAGGCATGAGATTCTTCTAACTGCCCAAACTTCAGGTTGTGCTCTACCTCGTCCATCACCCACTTCATTCGAATATTGCACACGGAGAGACAGTACGCGTGATTCTCGCTGGATTTTTCTGCTGCTTTGAAGAAGCTATCTAGGACTATCCCGATGTGGGCATCCAGGCACTTTACGATGATCTCCAGGAGAAGACTCGAAATAAACGCAAAGGGCGAGGGATAGTGCTCGATCATGTTTTGGAACATCTTCTGGTCTCTCCTGAGGGATCTTACGACGGCAGGAGACTGTAAAGTGCTTTTTAGGAATCTTGCAGTGGGTTCGAGTATCTGATATATTGGCTTATTTTGCATTGTTTTTTCCATTTGCATGTATATCTTCGCGTCCTGGGAGTCTTTCTTCGAGGAAAGCATCGAAATAATTTCCCAAATGCTTTCCAAAAGATTTTCTTCGAGCGCGATCAGGACCTCAGACTCCGTGAGGGAGACAAAGTTAAAGCGAAGTTCTTTTATCTCGCGAGAATATGCTTCTATGTGGGTTATTTCGTACGAGCTTGAAAAGGGCTTTTTGATCTCCTTTATTCGTTTGGCTATCTCTGCCCCGCTTATATCGACGGACTTCTTCTGAGCGTCTATCATTTGCTGCTTCTGGGCTGCCGGAAGGGAGAGGAGAGTCTTTCTGTAGTCTCCCTCTATCCCCAGCGCATCCACGAGGGAGAGGAATTCGTGCGCTAGCTTTGCAGTGTCGATCGGGTCTTCCATTGGCTGAAAAATAAATAGAGAAAAAACAAGAATTAATACGCAAATCATTAGGCTCTGAATATGCCCGGAAGAGGCAAAGTATTGCAATAATCCCAGGGCAAACACTCTCTCGCGGTAATTCAGGAGTATCCCAAGGACATGCCATCATAGTATTATATAGTAGTACGAGATAATAGCATAATATAGTAGTACGAGATAATAGTGTTATAGTGTTATAGTGTAGTAGTGTTATAGTGTGATGTAGTAGTGTAGTAGTATAGTGTAGTAGTGTTATAGTGTTATAGTGCGATGGTGTGATAGTGTGATATTGTTATGGTATAATATTGTTGTGTAGTAGTATGGTATAATAGTGTTATAGTATAATAGTATGATATTTTTATAGCATTCTAATAATAATATCATAATAAAAATACTCTAGTAAGACAATACTATAATAATACTATAATAAAAATAAAATAAAATAACCCGAACAACCTAGATAATATTATAATCCTCTATCTAACACTATAATATTATAATACTATAATCCTCTATAATACTATAACACTCTAACACTATAATACACTATAATACTCTATCTAATGCATACCCTGAATGATCCGAATGGACTCTCCTAATCCAGGATTTTCCCTTGTTTGGCATCCCCTGCACCTTTGTTTGGTTTTAGGATGTTTTGTTTCAATCTCTGTATAAGTACCCCCAGGAGATCTCCCCCATGCGATGCCATTTCATGCTTCTGCTTCTCCTGGGGAAATCCCTCGCGCAAGAAGCCACGAAAGAGCCTGTCCTGAAGGAGGAAACAAAAATCACCCTGCACGAAGACCCTGGGAAAGACCCTTCATTCGAGCACCTTTTCAGCAAAGAACTCGCTCTCGCCCAGAAAGCCCTTTCCTCGCAGGAGAAGGAGATTTCGAGGGTGAAGAAGTCCCTCAGCGCCCTCGCAGAGAGTGGCCGCAGATACTTCCTGGAGAGTGCCCCAAAACCTCCCACGGATAAATTCATCGCTGTTTTTGACGGGGGATCTACAGGGACTCGCCTAAACATATACCAATTCGACGGGAAAGGCCTCGTTTTAAAGTCGCATTTTTTCAAAAACATCCCCGGGGGAGTCCACACGAGCAAAGCCCCGAAGGACGACATTCAAGCACTTCTTTCTGCGGGAGAGACTTTCCTGGAGAAGAACCATCATTCCACGGGATACGACTTTCCGATGGTTTTCAACGGGACTGCAGGTCTCCGTCTCGTGGGGGAGAGAGCCAGAAACTCCCTGATTCTCTCGATAAAAGAGGCGATAAAAGAGTCCACAAAGCGGGAGGTTGAAGTGAGAGTGATCGACGGGAAGGAGGAGGGATTCTATGCGTGGGCTGCACTTGTCTTTGTTACGCAGATGAAGGATAAAATCGGGATCTTCGACCTTGGGGGAGGATCTGCGCAGATTTCCTTCGAAGTAGAGAAAGATCTGCAGGATGCACAGGAGGGAATTGTCCACGGGAAGAACAAAGACGTTCTCTCTCGGTCTTTCCTGGGGATGGGTCTCTTCGCAGGGCTTGAGAGAGTCCGGAAGAGCGACGAGAAGAAGCACTGCGCCTGGGGGAGGGAGAGTTTCAGCCTTCCCCAGTGCAAGATGCACATGAAGAGCGTAATTGGAGCGATGATTCAGGAAACTACTGCAGGGAAGGAGATAGCTCCAGGAATTTCTCAGGTGAATACGATATTCGTGACTTCCTTCATTGCGGAGATGCTGAACAGTTTGCAGACTCCAGGGACTGCGCAGTTCAAGGACATAAAAAAAGTTGCAAATTCTCTGTGCAGGAAGGATTATTCGGGGAGTAATCCTGGGAAGGAGGAAACTCCCGGGAGGAATCGCCTGGACTGTGTGGGGGTGACGTATGCGATTATCTTCATGGAGAATCTCGGGGTGGGCCTGTTTACGCCGATCCGGAATGCCTCGAAGATTCCGACGGATATTAGCTGGTCCCTGGGGAGGGCTCTCTCCCTCCTGGAGTAGGAGTCAGATGTTGCAGATTGTTCACGTATGGAATAATACAGGCAGTAAAGTTATAGTGTTATAGTGTTATAGTTGGTATAGTTAGTTAGTTTAGTTAGTTAGTAGTATAGTTAGTTAGTTATATTATGGTATTATAGTTAGTAGTATAGTTAGTACAATAGTTAGAGTAGTATGGTATAGTATAGTTAGTTAGTTTAGTTGGTATTATAGTTAGTTAGTTATATTATGGTATAGTTAGTAGTATAGTATTATAGTTAGTTAGTAGTATAGTTAGTTAGTATAGTGTTGATTGGTATTATAGTTGGTTAGTATAGTTGGTATAGTTAGTAGTATGGTATAGTTGGTGTAGTGTTAGTTAGTATAATGGTATAGTTAGTATTATGGTATAGTTATTCTGGTTATAATATTATGTTAGTTATGGTTATTCTGGTTATAGTGTTAGTAGTATAGCTATTCTGGTTAGTATAGTGTTGATTGGTATAGTTAGTGTAGTGACATAAACCCGGGCATATTTGCTTTAAGTGCATTTGCTGGATGGTGTGCAGTAAGTTCTGCTGCTTAGTACACACGGTGTAAAAACTGTGTGGAATCTGTCTTATTTAATGCACAGTGCGTAGGAGGTACTATTCTGTTGTTTGCCTGCTGCTTGTTGCACACTGTATACTATATGCTCTTT